CCGCACTTTTCGCTCGACCACTACTTGCCGCGTCCTGGGTATGTACCAACGCGGTATGGGTGGACGCAAGACAGATGATGACGAACGCACAACATCGTCCGGTAAAATTCTTTTCCCTCCTGGGCGCTGCCCGAGACCGCAGCCTCAAGACGTGAAGCGTCTGTGCCACGCGCCGCCACCCCCCCGTCGATGCTGATGGCGCTCACGCCTGGCCGCTGGTGCGACTCGAGGCTGACAGAGGCGCTTGCCTCTGGGGAGCGCTTCCCCGTCTTTTGCTATGGCAGCAATGGCATCGAGCAGATGCGAGACCGCTGCCGCAACGGCGGCCTCACGTCGTGTCGTGCCCGTCTTCCGGACGCATCGCGCGTCTTCGGCGGCTGGAGCGAGCGCTGGGCCGGCGCGGTTGCATCGGTCCAGCCTCTCGCCGGCCACGAGGTTCGAGGAAGCGTGGTCGATCTCGACTCGGCGGAGATTGAGCTGCTCGACTCCTTCGAGGCGACCAACCCGGACGCGCCATACGGCCGCACTGGCGCGGTGTACCACCGCCAGGACGTCGTCGTGCTCGTCCAGCGCGAGGCGGGCGGGCCCGAGGTGGCGGCAGTCGCGCTGGTGTACGTCAAAGTGGACGCGAGCTGGCGCGGCCCGCCGAGCCAGCGCTACGTGGACGCATGCGTGCGCAACGTGCTCCAGTTCTGGGACGGCAGCGAGGTCGAGGTGCGGGACGAGCGGGGCAACCTGCGCGATGGACCAGGCGGCGGCGGCGGCAGCGGCGGCGGCGGCGGCGGCTCCTCCTCCTCCTCCTCCTCCTCGGGCGGCGCCTCCTCTCTGGCGCCGCTCGCCTCGCCTCCGGCTGGCTCCGCTCCTGGCGGCGAGGGCAAGGGCAAGGGCAAGCGGGTCGCTCCGGGCGGCGAAGGCGACGCCGTGACGCACTTTGACGCGGACGCCTCGCAGACTGTCCGCGCGCTTGCCGAGGCGTGGGAACCTTCTGGGAACCTTCTAGGAGCCCTCTAGGAACCTTCTAGGTCCGCACGCTTGTCGAGGCGTTTGGCTTCTCGCTTGAGAAGGCGGCGACGGCGGTGGACTCGATCGGCGACAAGTCGGACCTGAACGCGGCGGTGCAGTGGCTGATTGATCGGGGGGAGGAGGACCACGGTGGCGCCGTCGAGTTCAAGCACTGCCCGCACCTCGACGACCCCTCCCTCCCCCTCATCGACGCGTCGCTCCTCCGGCCAGGCACAGCGCCCCGCCCGAAGCGCCGAGCGGCTCGTGGGGCGGGTGGGGGGGTGGGGGGGGGTGGGGGGGGGGGGGGGGGCACCGCCTCGTCACGCGACCGCCCTGTTGTGCGCAGGCACGCACGCTCCGGCCGCGGGGGCGCAGCCGGTCTGCTCGCACGGGTGCGAGTCGCCAGAGCAGTGGGTCTGCCTCCAGTGTGGCGAGGTCAACTGCGGCCGCTACCTCAACGCGCATAGCCTGGCGCACCACGGGGCGACCGGCCACGCCACCGCAGCCAGCCTCGCGGACCTGTCGGTCCACTGCTATCTCTGCCACGGCTACGTCGAGCACCCGCGGCTCGTGCCGCTGGTGGAGAGGCTGCGCGCCCTCAAGTTTGGCGAGGACGCGTTCGGCGGCTGAACACCGGCCGGACACTCTCGCGCCGATCCGCTCCCCCGCATCCGCCATCCCCGCGGGTCGCCGCTGTGTCGTGTGTGGGTCGCCGCTGTGTCGTGTGTGTGCGCTGTGTGCCAGCAAGGGGGCCGCGAGTCCACTCTCTGCTCTCTGCACGCTGGTCTCACGTGTGCACCCCGCCGCCGCGGGTCTGTGATGAAGACTTCTTCGTTTTTCCACACACACAAAACGCGTGCCGGTGGCGCTGGCGCGTGGCGGTGCGGCGGCGTCACCGGGCGTGGAGGCTGGAGGAAGGTTGTGGTCGAGCGGCCCCGTGGCCGTGCCCGTGGGACTGTGGGAGGTGGGAGGTGTCAGGAGAGAGGCGCGCGCGCGGAGGGTCAGGGTGGCCCAACGCGCAGTTCTCTTTTCAGAAAACACATCGAACACATGCGTCTCAACGTACTCACCATGTGCACCCCCCAGCCCACGCGGTAAACCGCCAAGGCTCACCGGTTGTCGGTGGAAGCCGGCGGAGCGCCGCCACCTCGGTGGATCGCGTCGGCGACGGCCGCCACATGGCGCATCTGCGATACGTCGTGCACGCGCAGGATGTCGGCGTGCGGCACCGACGCGGCGCACGCGGCGGCGGTCGCCCACGCGCGCTCCTGCGGCGGCAGCTCCACACCGACCGCCGCGCCGAGGAACGACTTTCGCGAGACGCCGACCAGGAGCGGGTAGTCGAGGGCGTCCGACGCGGCGGCGGCGGCAGAGGCGGAGGAGAGGCCAAAGCGGTGGAGAGAGCGGAGGAGGGCGAGGCTCTGCGGCGCCGTCTTCGCAAAGCCGATGCCCGGGTCGCCTATCAGGTCCCACTTCGGCACGCCCGCCGCCTGCGCCGCCGCGAGCCGGCCCGCAAGCTCGCTCCTCACGTCAGCCACGACGTCGTCGTACCGCGCGTGCGAGGCCATCGTGGCGGGGTCCCCACGCATGTGCATCAGCACGGCGGGCAGGCCGAGCCGCGCGACCGTCGGCAGCATCTCGCGGTCCATCGCCCCGCCGCTCACGTCGTTGACGACGCGCGCGCCGAGCGCAGCCAGCTCGGCGGCGACGGCGGCGCAGCTCGTGTCGACAGAGATTGGGGCACGGAGCGGCGAGGCGTGGAGGGCTTGCACCACGGGCGCGGCGCGGCGCAGCTCCTCCTCCGGCGAGACGGCCACCGCGCCCGGCCGCGTCGACACGGCGCCGACGTCGATTATGTCTGCGCCCGCAGCCTCGAGCTCGAGGGCGTGCGCTGTGGCGGCGGCGGCAGAGTCGAAGCGGCCTCCGTCAGAGAACGAGTCGGGCGTGACGTTGAGGACGCCCATCAGCAGCGTGCGCCGACCCCACCGCACGAGCCCCTCGTCGTCGTCCGACCCGAGCGGGCAGACCCGCTGCAGCGGCGCCGCGTCCTCCGGCGGCAGCGCCGCGAGCATCGCGGCGGCGGTGGCGCCGGATCGCGGGTGGCGCGCTGCCGGGTCGATCTCGGCGAGCGGTTCGAGGACAAAGCGCCGCTCTCCCATGCGCGGGTGCGGGAGCTCGAGCGGAAGGCTCGGCGCCGCGTCGCCGCTCGACGCGTCCGAGTGCTGCAGGTCGCCGTAAAGGACGAGGTCGAGGTCGATGGCGCGAGGGCCCCAGCGAGCTGAGGGAAGGCGCCCCACCTCCACCTCGATGCGCTTGAGCGTTGCCAGCAGCTCGCGCGGCGAGCAGCTCGCGCGCACCGCGGCGACCGTGTTGAGGAAGGGAGGCTGGTCGTCGACATAAGCTGGAGCCGTCTCATAGAGCGACGCGGTGGCCTCGAGCTCAAACTCGCGCGATAGCTGCCGGACCGCCGCACGGATGTTGGCGGCGCGGCGGCCAAGGTTGGAGCCGAGGGCGATGTAGGCGCGGAGGCGGGACATCGACCACCCGCATTGACACATGTGTAGATAGCTGCTCGTTCTCAGCGCGCAGCGCTCTTGTATTCACACCCGCACAGCACCCTGAGGTATTTTTATGTTCCCCCACCCGGGTGGGGGAATTTTATATTTAGCAATATGAGCCGCCGTCCCCACTCGAACTCGAGTCCGCCGACCGCTATAGGTCGAGCGGGGAGAGAGGCGCTGCCTCCACGGCGGGGACGGAGGCGACACCTCCGTCCCCACCGCCATTGGTTCGAGCGGCAAGCCTTAGGTAGAGCGGGGACGGAGACGTGGAAAAGCGTGCTTGTGAGTGGAAGCCACAAGCGCGCTGGCTCCGGTCGTTTGTAAATGAGGGTGTTTTTCTGTGTGTGTGTTTTCTTGAAGCCTTTCTTAAACTGGGTAACGAACCCCTGTCACTCCGTGAAGTGAACAGAAGAGAGGTGTGAACAGACTGGCGTGCTGATCGTGAAGAGGCGCCATGTCATCGGACACCGAGAGCACGGTCTGCGACCCGCGGTTAGAGGTCGCACCCGAGCCGCAAGTCCCCAAGGGGCCGGGCCAGATAAGGCGCGTGCCCCAGCTGTTCACAGCAACAGCACGGTCTACCCCCGTCGTCCCACCCCAAGTGCAGCAGCTTGGTAGCGGCGGATGGGACGCCAAGAAGAAGGCCGAGTGCCCCAAGTCGCCATTCCTTGGCCACAACTCGGCCTGGCTGAACGAGCTCGCCGACATCCCGATCGGATCGGGCGTCCTCTTCGAGCGCCTGTGCCACGCGTGCCCCGAGGTTCGAGATGACGCCAAAATGTCGGCCATCGCGATTTTTTCGACGCACCGGCAGTTCAAGTGCTTTTGCCCCGCCGAATGCGCGGCAAACCTGAAGGAGCGCTACTGCGGCTGCTTCAGCACCTGCCGGTCGGAGCTCTAGCGTGCAAATACGCGTCGCCGAGAGGATGTACCCAGAAACATACTGGACGGCGTACGACACGACCATCCCGAACGCCGACGACGCTGTCTTTGGCACAGCGCAATCGATAATCGACGCGAGCGCTGATGGAGCCGACGCTGGGAGCACCACTGCACCCTCGCGGGGCCTTCCCACAGAGGGGGTGCTAGTCGGCGGCAAAAGCAAGCAGCTCAAGAAGATATCCAAGCGCGCTCGCAACAACGCCATCAAGGGTGGCCCCGTCAACAGCCCGTCGTCTAACCCGACACTTCCACCAACCTGGGTGACAGCTGTTCCAGGGGGTGGCGCCTCCGGGGACGATGTCACCTGGGCAACTCCGGTTCCACCGCCCAGGGTGACCGCTGTGCCCGGAGGGCCCAAAGGTACTGACGTGACTTGGGCGAGCGTCGCTGGGCGCCATGACAGCCAGCAGCCTACACCCCAAGCCTCGGCTGAGGGGGTGGACGGCGCGCAGCTCGTGACTGCGAACATGACGCATACAATGCGCATGCACAGGACAGACTTCGAGGAGCTCAGTGAGGCTCTCGAAGACGGTGACGAGGAAGCGATCGAGCAGTTCATCACCAAGCAGAAGATGTTACGAGGCGATGACCCCGACGTCACATACACGGTCGGCATCCCCCCAAGCTGCAAGTCTGCCCTAACGGGCCCTGACAAAGAGAAATGGATGCCGTCATACACTGAGGAACTAACGGCACTCCAACAAAATAAGACGTTCTCCGTAGAGGACATCCCCGCTGGCGTCCATGTCATCGACCCAACAGTTGTGCGAGATGTCAAACGTGATGAGAACGGCCGCCCAGACCGCTGGAAGACGCGCGTCTGCGCTCGAGGCTTCATGCAGCGGCTGGGCGAACATTACTTCAACACGTTCAGCAACACGGTTCGATATGAGACGCTGCGGCTACTTATGGCGATAGCCGCAGGCAACGACCTCGCCCTTACGAGTCTTGACATCAAGACGGCTTACCTCAACGGCTACATCGAAGGGGGCGTCCAGATCTACATGCGCTTTCCTGCCGGATGGCACTTTGAGGGTGACGGATTCGACTACACCTTCAAATACACTGGTGATCACACGCGCAAGAGGGGGCGTCCCGAGCGTGGACTACGATTGGTCAAGGCCATCTACGGTCTGAAGCAGAGCGGAGCACTCTGGGAAGAGACGCTCCGGTCGTTCCTACTCTCCATCAACGCCATCCAGTGCGTCGTTGACCCGTGCCTGTGGCGGTACTCCAAAGGCGGCAACACCCTGCTCTTCGTCGTGTACGTTGACGACATCGTGATCGCCTGCTCCAACCAAGACTTTCGCGATGCGTTTGTGAGCATGCTCCAAGAGCGATTCACATTGCGCGACAATGGCCCACTTACCTGGGTGTTCGGTTCTGCCGTCGAGCAGGACCTAGAGCAAGGCACCGTTAGCTTTCACCAAAAGCTCTTCATTCAAGATACCGTCAAGGAGTTCCTGGGCGACGACCCCCGCCCCAGTAAGCGCGCCGTACCGTGCAACGACGACATCACCAATCTCACCCACCTCGAAGAGGGTGAGATGATGCACCCACGATACGCCGAAATTGTTGGCAAGATAGGGTGGTTGGCCAACATCTCCCGACCAGACATTGGCTACGCCTACTCGATGCTCTCAAAGTTCCTAAAGGGGGGCGGGGAGCGCCATTTCAACGTTGCCCTTGGCGTCCTCGCTTACCTGGACAAGACCAGGGACAAGACGATCACCTATCGCCGCGAGGCGGATGGCAACCTCGCCGATCACATCGTAGAGCATGCCGACTTAGCCAGCTTCGACTACGACAGGTTCGTGCCGATCATCTTCTCGGACACCTCTCATGGCGGGGAAAAGCCTCAGGCGGGATACGTGATTTTTGTGTGCAATGGGCCTGTCTCTGCACACGCTGGACGCCTTAAGTCCACGCCCACCTCATCGTCCGAAGGCGAGTATGCCATTGCGACCAAGGCCACACAAGCGGCCATCGCGGTCTCGGACACCATCAAGTTCATGGCCGAGGACCTACCCGACTACAAGGGCAATAAGTCGGACCTCGGATGCACAATGCCGCTCTTCTGCGACAATAGGGCGGCTGTGCTCCTTAGCGAGGGCAACACCTCCTCGA